TATTATGAAAAGAATACCTCAACATTACACTCAAGCACAGCACTGGAATAAATGTAACTGGACATGAAGACAAGCCTCCATAATAATTAACAGGCTAATTTGATTAAATTCACTTTAAAAGTGCAAGAATATTACTGTGACAGGTTTTTAATCTCAAGTAGAAGAATTGAGTGGTTTTTATCACATTTTGTTAAACTCACTGCTATTTTTTTATCGTTGTTAGCTGAAGGGGGCCACAGATTTCATCACTGTGGATTGTGCGATGAGGTTACTCAGACTAATGTCCTACATGTCATGACTGATCAGTGAGGATCAAACAAACAGAATACTTCTGCTGTTTACCTGTTTATTTCATTAACCTCATTACATCCACTGTGTGGTCTGAACCACCGTCCTCCTGGCTCTCCTCCAGGACTTCCTGTTCCGCTGGGATTCAATCAGTCTAATGCTGCACTGTTTGATCTCATCACGGGAGGGAGAGCACGCTTCCTTATCATCACTCAGCTGGAGAGTCTGAGAGATGGGGTGACGGCGGAAAGGCAGATACTCAGTCATGACAAGCCTTCATTTTTAAAGGCAAATTTTACACTTGCCTCCCCGATCAGATAGGCCAACACTGAAAAGCAAATGAGTTCTGTCTTCCTTGAATTAACAGGACATGCTACAGTAGTAACCTCCAACCCTGTGAAGTACAACCCATCTCCTTGTGCTGCAATCACACCAAACATTGTAGTTTGATGCTCATCTGAAGGGATGGCTGGTCTCTTGTTCCTCAGCTCCATCGTATTGCGCTCTCCCAGCAAGCTGTAAAGACATAGACAAGGGTTGTAGTTGTTAACACACTAACCAGACACAACAGACCCCTGGTGGCCATATGAAACAATGTCAATCTTATCCTAGAGAAGTAAGACTGATGAGCAAAACACAGGAGGTATCAACTGGAACTAGTTGTTGAAAAACTTATATTACACAGCTCAAAAAATTAAGGGAACATTAAATCATCCCAGTATAATACTAAGTGAGTTGAATTTGAAGTGTATCCATCTCTCCATCATCTGTGAATCAATTTCAAGCAAAAGCAAGACAACCCCCCAAAAGGGAAAGGTTTTGCATGTGGTGGCCACAGACAGCTGCTCTCTCCTTATCCTTACTGACTGATTCTTGTTTAGTTTTGTGTTCTGCTAATGTCCTTGTCACTACTATTAGCATGAGGCAGTATCTGCAGCCCGATCAGGTTGCACAGTTAGTCCAGCTCCTCCAGGAAGGAACATCCACAAGAGTGGTTGTGAGAAGGTTTGCTGTGTCTCCCAGCATAGTCTCAAGAGCATGACGGAGATACCAGGAGACCGGCCTTTACACGAGGAGAGCTGGACAGAGCCATAGAAGGACATCAACCCAGCAGCAGGACCAGGAGTGTCAGAAACAGTCTCCATGGGGGTGGCATCGGGGCCCAACCTCCTCTAGCGGGACCTGTGTGCTCACAGCCCAGCACTGTGCAGCTTGATTGGCATTTGCCAGAGAACATGAGAATTGGCAGGTCCGCAAATGGCACCCTGCTCTCTTCACAGATGAGAGCAGGTTCACACTGAGCACATGTGACAGGCGTGAAAGGAAGGTTGCTCAGAGCGTCATGTCACAGCCAACGGTGCCCTGACTGCCGTTAAGTACCTGGATAAAATCTTCAGAGCGATTGTCAGACCATAAGCTGGTGCAGTGGGCCCTGGGTTCAGGACAGTGCCTGCACCAGGAGGAGGAGTGTAGTGTAGGCAGTTCCTGGATGACGAAGGCATTGATGCCATCGACTGACCTAAACCCAATTTACCAATGGGACGTTATGTATCATGTATTCAACACTGCCAAGTACATCCACAGACTGTCCAGGAGCTCACTGATGTTCTGATCCAGGTGTGGGAGGGGATCCCCCAGGACACCTGGAGCATGCCCAGACGTTGTCAGGAGAGTGCATACAGACACGTGGAGGTCAAACACACTGAGTTACATTACAAGTTGCAGTGATGAAATTGGATCAGCCTGATTTCAATTTCTTACTTAGATTTTTGTTGTGGTTTGGAATCCAGCCCTCAGTGGGTTGATGGTTTTGGTTTCCATTGACCGTTGTTATGTCATTATGTTCTCAGTAAATTATACAGTGTATACATTTCTACAGATTTTCAACATGAATAATTTGTGTTACCTTCATTTTGTTGAGCAGTAAATCCTCTAAGTCAACCTTAAGTAGTATCTTCCCAACATCTGTGTGTTGGTAGCTCTTTTAGAAAATGTGTATTTGTGATATAACCAGATTTATTTTCTTGCGATATATAACAGCTTATGGCTGTGCCTGTGTGAAAATAGAGTTGAATGATATGTTCAATATATCCTGCTCTCAAAGTGAGAGCAGGATATATTGATTTTAACTTCATATTTTGAGACGCTTTCAAAACCTTCACACTTATCGACAGTTCACAACATCATCATCAGAACCAAATATCAAAGTTATTTCAACCCCCTGACTGTGGAATGGACACAATCATCTCCACTTATAGAAGGTTTTCACATATTATTATTATATTATTTCAACATTTCAGTCCTGTTTGTTTTATTTTTATTTTCAGTTAAATTAGTTTTGCTGTTATCTCCTGTAAGTGAAGATTGAATGTTTCCTCTGTAAAACTGAAAACATCTTTTCTCGGGACATGTTATTCTGTTTTAAACTTTATTATAACTGTCAGCGCACAGCCCATACATTTTAAATAAAGTTGTATTTTTAAAAAAGTGCCAAGTGTAAGTGGCGTTGGATTGTCTCTTCACCTTGGTTCTCCTTTTCCTAACTCCTTACAGCTTCTCCTTCTCATCTTCCCTTGACCTTGTGACATACTCCACTGTGGTCCATTAAGGAATAGTGGTTAGGAAAGGAGAATATTTGGTGCACGGCCAGTGAGTGTGAGTGGCAGGTATCCATAGGGGCGTGGCTGACCCAGTTCCCCACTGCACACCAGTGAAGCATTAGCAATCTACTCCAGCAGTATATAAAAACTCAGCGCTGCCAGTTAGTCAGTTCACCACAGTGCTACTCATGCTATGGCTGACTTACTTTCTGTATTCTTTGATTCTTGGAGTCCTGTTGAATTGTTGCTTTGTTTCTGACTTTGTTCCTCTGTGTCTTGAAGTTCTGCTCACCTGCAGCCCCAAAACTCCCCTGTCACTCCTGCAGGCCTCTTTTTCTTCCTTCACTCTGTTGGACTCTCAGGATTCTTTCTCCTCTCTTATAGTAAATGTGTTTAACCTTCTTTGTGTTGATACTCTGGGTCCAACTTCAGACACCATGATGGATATTTCATTACTTGGACAGATTTCCTGTGTTTCAGCTTCAGCTCTTCTCGTGTTCAAGCTGCTTCTGTGCATGCATGAAACGTCTCTGAGATGTAAAGCCACAGCAGTCACAACGAGGGTGGGACAATTTCTTTTGCCAACACTACAGTTGACATTCTGTTGGTTTGAGGATTAGACAGACTTGTAGCACAGAAACTTCTAAGCACAGTGGAAAAAAATCTGGATAAATCTGAAAGCAGATGTTTCACATGCGAAAAAACAGCAGCTCAGTTGTTCTGCACATTTTGTAGAATAATTAATGACCACACCTTAAAGGCCAATAAAAGGACAGTCATTGAGAGAGTGGAGATGTTGGGGGAGATAGGGGTGCTGAGGTGAAGGCCCAGCAGCATATGATAAAACTTTTAATGGCTCCATTTAAAGGTGTCTCACAATTCTACCTCAGTCCTTACTGGTGTTATTTATCTTCAGTACATTTCTCCCTGTCCCAGCTGTGCTACAAGATCAAGAGATATGTGTCAAGACATGTCAGATATTAAATGTCACTGTGCAACAACACACTTTGAGTCTGGCCTATGATGGATGAAGGGTGTGGGGGTGTTTGTGAAAACGTCTCAGGAGAAATCAGCAGGGACATCAATCAGGCCTGATATCACAGCACACGAGGACTTTGTTGATGGAGATTTCGTTGCTGTGACATAGATATAAATCCAGCCACATGGCCTATCAGGAGATGCTTTCAAATAATCATCTTCATCATCAAGTCGTCCACTCTGCCTCAGGCTTTAACTGCTACCTCCAACATGAGCTCAAAGAGTGGGAACTCACTGCAGTCTAGCATCTAATAGACTGGAGTAGAGTGGTATGGAGGATGAAAAATGACAAAGTATTAAGAAATAAATGTATAGACATGAGACTGAGGTTAGGACCGCTGTTCTCATTAGCACACGGACACAGAAATACAGAAATAAATAAATGTGGAAATAAATTTAAGACATTTCCGTATTTATTTCTGCATTTATTTATTTCCACATTTATTTAGGCATTTGTTTGTTTATTTCTGTATTTATTTATTAAAACTTAAAGGCACAGTGTGTAGAATTTTGTGATATCTACATTTCATGTTGCAGCTGAACACCCCTCACCTCACCCTCTCCTTCCAAACATGAAAAAGAACCTGTGGTAGCCTTTAATTGTCATAAAGACTCAAAAGGTGTTTAGTTTGTCCAGTCTGGACTAATGTAAAAAACATGGCGGCCTCCATAGAGAGGGTCCCCTCGATTTAAATATAAAGTATTTAAATATAAAGGACCTTTTCTGGGGTAAAGAAAATTACAATTCATACAATTTAGATGAAATGAACTAGTGAAAACATCATGAGGATTATTCTACATTACATTTCTGCCAAAAGATCCCTTTCACCTAAATCTTACACACTGGAGCTTTAAGTAATTTTTTCGTCCTCCATAGACTGGGTCATATGAAAAGACATACTATATTGGTTGGCTATGCCTGTTTATTGTCTATGGAGAAATGTATTACAGAATTAGGCAGTTTCCTGCTCCAAAACTTAATTATCCACTCAAACACATACAAAACCACTCAAAATATTTCATCAGTCTTTAGTTCAGTACTTTAACAGCCAAAGTTATTTAATTTTCCCACACTGAAAAGCAATGCACACCAGCAGAGGAAGCATACATACAGAATTCCTATAAAGACACCATTCGCCAGCCACTCAGCAAGGGCTGAATTAAAGGCCGCTTCTCCAGCCACCACAGCAAACCTCGTTCACATGAGTATCATTTGGTGGAAAACAACCACTTGTCATGAGAAAACCACCCATGAATGATAATAATGTTCATATTTTACAACACTGACTTAGCAGAGTTTCATTTTTACATGTAACACTCCCCACAGCTGACATTAGCTATGAAGTAGAGCTGAAGTAGATCAGCTCTACTGAATATGAGTTCTAAAATTTTTATTGTGCAGAGTAAACGCATACTCACATTTAGTTTTTGACTGGTAAAGCAAATGATACTATTGTGTGCAGCTTAATCTAGAAATGACCAGTGTTCTATGACTAGTTATATAACTGTTCTGCAGTATGGGAAATGCCAATCCTCACTAGTCACCTTATATGCACAAAACACAGGACAATAAGAAAGTCCCTCACATATACACACTAATGAGCAGTTATGAGATATGGGGCTTGCACACGCACACGTCAGTATATTGACAACAATATTGTTAATTAAAACCAGTAGCGTGTTCTAATAAATGAATCCCTCCCCTGCAGTTGTAATCCTCTCCAGCATTTGGTGCCCAACATGGGGCTGGTAGAGGGACGCCTGCAGACTGCATCTTGGGCTGGGTCAACACTGCGAGGGGCCATAAAAAGGAATAAAAAATTCCGACCATTATTAAATTATTACATTTACAGTCTCACCCAGGAGCGTCTAACACTCTACGGAAAGAAACCTTAATATTTTGTATAATATTAAATACATATTTGATAATGAATCAATTGATAATTTAGAGAGGCTTGCAGGGGGGTCCACCCACACAATTTAGTGCTCAACTGGGGCAGAAACAGGAGGGACTCTTATGTTTGCTTGAGCAAATTTGACACTGGAATCCATAAGCTAAACAAAAATCAAAAGGTTAGAACAAAGGAGAAAAATTAAACCCTTTTAAATAATGATGGGTGAAATAATGATCATAGGTTTTTTGGGGGGGACTTTCTCTACCCCTGGTTTGTTCAACACAAGTCCAATGCACCAGGGAGAGCAGATGGCGATGTTTTCAATATCACATTTGATGGTCTGTCACCTCATAAGCCGTAATTAAAAGTGATAATTAGCAGCCATCCTCATGATTTATTCCTGGTCGAAGAGCTAGCACGTTTTTTCTGTTGGCTTTCTGATCGAAGCCACTGCCTGGGCTTTCATAACAAATTCATTAACAAGTTTATACAGGTCATGGTCACATGCAGAAAGTCACTGTACTTTGCAGATATGATTTTATGCATCCATTTTCTTTACTGGTAACCCAGTCCACGTCGACTGAAGTTGCAAAAGACAGGGATGGTGATACACAGACAGATAAACTGTGAACAAAGAACAAATATAGTTTAGTGTCAAACAGCAAAAACACTAAATATATGAAAGATAATAATACAAACTGACAAAGAATATAAAATACATTGTTCTGGGGTAAAGTACAAGTACTCCAACAGTTATTCCAATTTAAAGAACAGTATTCATCACTGGGCAAAGAAAGAACTTTTCAGTTTACTGTTGCAACTTATATAAACGCACAGTCTTGTGGGTTTTTCAGGATTTAGATTAACTATGTGCCTAGAATCATTGCTCCCAATCAATTCTAATGTCTTAACTGTTTGCTAACACATTTCCACAGTGTTTATAAAGATGGATGAACACTTCCTCCCATTGTGAAGAGGCCAAAGGCTTTATCCATAACACTACGTTTTACTTTGAAAACCACTTTGTCAAACTAAAACACCCTTTCCACACAAGCATTTTGGCCCTGTATTAGTATTAATCCTCTATTACTCTATAGACCACTCATGTACACTGGGCATGCACATGCAGGAAGGCGTGGCAATCGTCACATGTAATCAGTTGTATCATTGTAAAATGCAGAGTAGAACTCAACTGTAGAACAGCAGCTACTGGGACATCATGTCCTGGGATTTATGAAATATAAAGCATACAAAGTATTTCTCAAAGTCTAAACCAGGTCTTCTAATGAGGAGAAGGAGTTCTGTACCTGTATGATAAACATGGTCACAACACCAGCGGCTGTGCTCAGATAGTTTCTTGCAAACCAGTCCTTCAATTTGAGGAGACAACCCTGAAAAACAAAATTTGCACAGTTGTTCTTTATTCATAAAGCTTTAACAGACTGGCAGGAAACTTCCAGGTAACACTGTGGAGCTCTAAGGACTGTTTGATAGTTGTTTGTGTCTATATGTTGGCCCTGTGATACACTGGGGACATGTCCAGGTCATACCCTGCCTCTGGAGGGCAACTTAGGGACTGGAGTCAGATATATCCAGCTTTTTGTGGTGGACGTGACCACATGAGGTAATGTCAAATAATAGAATACGCAATATTCAATATACAATAGAGGGATATACTGTATATTTTATGTGACTGGTGTGGGCCTCTTGTATCTATGGCCTGCGGCACCATAAGAACCTCATGGGGTACGGCTGGAGAACAGGAAGTGTCCCGCAGTGATCATTGTCAAACAGATCAGCTCCAGCAGCAAATCATTTGTTGAAGGCTGAACAGAAGTTATTCTGACTCAGTTCGAAGCAGCCATCAGAACAGAAGGAAGAGGTTGGTGTTTTCTCTCTTGTCTAATAGCAGTTGCAAATGTATTTCTCAAATAATTAAGTACAGCCCAGCTCAAAGCTCAGACTCAAAGACTGAACTCAGACGAAAGGACGTGTTGGTGGGTGCAGAGCGTCAGACGGACTGTGAGTTACCTCTTGCCAGTTGGTTTGGATGGGGCCGGTGCAGGGGTCCTCGACACAACAGGATACTGGGATGTTCCCCTTCCAGTCAGCCACACCATGAACTCCACAGCACTTAAACTGTTCAAACAACACACTTCAATGGAATGAGATATTCTGTATTGACAGGGCAAAGTGAACGACTACAACTCCCAGTGACTAAAAGAATGTGACAGAGATGTAGGGAATCATTTACCAGGTTCTGCACTGCATCAAAATCTTCTTTAATGGTCTTGTTTCCCTCTGCACTGGACTGTCTGTAGATCTCCAGGCTTTGCATCAGGTCTTTCTCAAAGTATGAGTCAATCTGCACAACAGAGACAGCATACATTGTATAACCTGTGATGTGCTGCTGCCTGATGGACTTCCGAGACAATGGCCTCTGGTTGGACAGCAGCATGTGCTGGCAGCTAGACCAGTGTGTGCACAGCCAGAGTAACAGGAGCATAAAAAGCTGGGCTAACTAATGAGCAGTGTAGACTTGTACGCCTCCGTCATGAAGCTCATCACAGTGTGACAGATGATTATCCACTGAGGTCTAGCACTGACTGATTAGGATGTATACAGCATGTGCAGGGAATGCATCGCCACTCTGACGCTCTTCACTGACTGAAAGAGTCATTGCTGAAAAATTAACACTCATGAATGTCAGTAAAACCTTTCATGGAAATTCCTCCAAAGGTTTGTGACATATTTCCAGCAAGACCAAAGTGTCAGTGAATTCCATCCCCAGAGCCGTGTCGCTGGCTGGTTACCAACTCTAATGTGATAAACGTATAGAAATGTATTTTTCTATAGTTACATGGAAACCCTCCTACCTCTCTGCTATAGACGAAGAACACACAGGCCATGGCCAGCTCCACCAGCATCAGAATAAACAGCAGGATGAAAAACTGAAATCAAATCAGGTTTTAATTTGAGTTTTAATAATTGGGCAGTTGTTAAGTATTTAAACTTGAGTTTGGCAACACAGCATAACATCTCTATTTTCATGTTTAATCCTAATTTCTGTTGTACGATAAGGAATCTTGTATGGCATTAACTCTTATTTACAATAATCAGGAGGTACATTATGATGCTGTAAAATAAAATGCATACTTGATGAGCTCATGACTTACTGTTACAATGAATCAACCATCGCAAAGTTAAAGTCCTGTTTCATACTCACACTGATGAGCATGCAGCGGTTCTCCTTCATGCCCCCCAACACGCCTAGATAACACACACATGTAACGATGGTGCCAGTGACCACCAGGGTGTTGGCGGGGTAGATGGGCCAGAAGGTGGTGATGAGGGAGGCGAACAGAGAGTGCATCATCTGGAATTCTCCGAAAGCCACCACGAAGGCGCCGCACAGCTGCAGCACAGAGGAGAGAGGAGACACCTCACATCATCATTCTGGATTTACATACACACAGTGTGATTCTCCACCAGAGGCCAGGATGACCACAAATCCATACCACTGAGTTTCTTAGTTCTTATCCAGATTCATTTATATTCCCAAACATCTTTTAGTCATTGGTCTTACATTCAGGATATCAAGCCCTCTGCTGCTTTTACTCAAGAGTCCCCAATTTAAAGGACGTAATATACTAAATTGCAGAAGTACCCTTTAAACGTCTGTGCACACAGGTCCTCATCCACCTACCCAGCAGAGAAAGTGGAGATTGATCAACATAGTTTTCCAGCATTTTACACAGGAGCGATTCATCCTCCCTGATAATCCTCCAGTCAGAGGTGATTTGAAATCTGAAAGAGGAGATAAGTGGGCGTCATGTTTTATTAAAACACAGTGTGGAGCACATGGCAGTGTGGCTGATATACTTGGTAAAAACAAGGAGGACTGCTGCTCCTCTTGGTGGCAGTGTTTACAGGACACCACTGTTTGATATGACAACACTAAGCCATGAGGCACAATGGACACTTGTGACCTATTCCGACTCCAGTTAATCATTATTATTACCCAGCTCTTATCTCTAAATGGACCATTTTACAAGTTTGTATGTGAATATCCAACAATGTTTCATTTAAGCAGCTTGTCATTGACCGTTTACATTTTCTGAAGTCATCTTAAATATTAAATGTATTAGTATTTATTAGAATCTAATTTTTTCAGTTCATTTAATGTCACAGTTGTAAAGTTTGAGAATGTATTTCTTTAATTTTGTAAAATACTCAGATGGCTAATTCAAAACATAATAAAGCTTCAATGCATTATTGATATTGCGTATCACATCTGAAGTCACTCTGAACTGATTTCCTTCCTTGTCTTTGTTTTGTGTGTTGTACTTCACAAATACAGCTGGTGTTACACTCATACTGAAACCGATTTACCCATGATAATGAAACACAGGCAGAATATCCCGAGGACTTACCTTAACCACACCGAATCTTGCAATACTCCAGTGACAGATGCCGTGAGCGGTATTTTGGTGCTGTCCCCACCATGCCCAGTGTTAAGTGATGACAGACAGGTATGAGGAGGAAGAGAAATAAAAGGGAGGAGGAAAGACAACTGAGAGCTCCGTCTATCAACGGTGAAGAGGAGGGGCGTCCACACTTTGCAATAACAGTGAAGAAGAGTTAGTGTCAGGAAATAAACTAACATGTATTCAGCACCAGTTAGTCCAACTCCTTCACTTCCTCTGGTTGAACACAAGCTGTTTAACATATTTGCTAAAATAAGTTCTAAAAACATATGAATGAATAAATCCTAGTGATGTTTTTGCTTTCATTTAAATTGTACCAATTGTCATATGGGCCCTTTATATTTAAATATTTATATTTACATCGGGAGCGGGTCCTCTCTATGGAGGCCACCATGTTTTTACATTAGTCCAGACTGGACAAACTAAACAACTTTTGAGTTTTTATGACAACTGAAGCTACCACAGGTTCTTTTACATGTTTGGAAGGAGAGGGTGAGGTGAGGGGTGTTCAGCCACAACATGTAACTTCACCACTAGATGTCACTAAATTCTACACACTGAACCTTTAACCAGAACCTAAGAACTTGCATTATTCCTCATTAGGGCCAGACTTAGATCCCCATGTGGTCTACTGCTCCTGAGAAGATCAATGTTTATGTTGTATGTACATGCACACACACTCACACACATTTTGTGAGGACACTGAGTGACATCCTCTATCTCCTTAACCTAAGCATCAGAACAAAATACCCCACCCCCCATTCCTGAAGTAAAACCTTAACTAATGTCTAACCTATAGACTTAATTCAGACTTAAACCCTGAAAACAACTCAAGATGTCAGACAGGGGACTGGCAAAAATGTCCTCAGATTCAAACTGATCACATCTGAGGCACATTAAGATGACGTGTCTATACATCTTAATATCTTAAGCATGTATAAATACATAAACATTTACTGAGAATGAAGACATCACCACATGAGATAGGTCACCATAGAAACTTTTACTGAAAAAAAATCAAACACACTTACACTTTGTTTCACACAAATGTTTTTGATTTAACAAATTAGAAGGATTTGCTGAGCATTACTATTTCAATAATTACAGCTGTTTGCCCCAATGTTGGCTCATGAATTAAATCATTGGGACAAACAGCTTGACATTCAGTAGAGAATTTAAAAAAACCTATAGACAGTTAGAGGAAAAGGGAAATAACAGTAAACATCGGACTCTGCAGTCTAGGTTCAGGAGGCAGGTGGTAGTTTTTAACTCTAAGCATGAACATGACATTAGCTACTGATTGATATGGTTTCAAACAGCTACAGGAAGCAAAATGACATATGCAAGAACATACAACAAACAGGATCCCAGAGGTGTTGCTGGGTGTTGAATAAAGCAGAAGGTCATAGAGGAAAAAAAGGCTCTACATTCTCCAAGTACATAGACAGACTGTCAGACCAGCACTTAGCAACCCTTCAGCAGGGTCCCTGAAGAATGAAGTAATCATTTTAATAAATGAATAACAAGAATTCACCTGAAGATGGAGGGCCTTCATTTCTTCCACATGATTACCACATTATTCATTAATCAGCCGGACCTGAGGGATCTTGCTTTTTGTGCTTCTACCTGCCTCTACGAAGAGAAGCTGTCGGATCAGCTGAAGTCATACAGCACTTCCTCCTTTCCCCCTTTCTACACAACCACGTGAAAGTCTCCCTACATGTTAACACTCTTACAAACATGTCACTGTAACAAAGACGTTGCTTAACTTAAGGGCTTCATTAAGCAGTGCTGCTATTGAGCTGCCTCCTCTGTATCAAGTGCTAATGTCAGTCAGTATCATTAGTTATAGTTGTACTGGTGCTCTGTTTTAACCTGTTGTGTGAACTTTAGATTTTTAAGTGCATTCACAACTCCAGGGGGATTTTCACAACAGAATTTTGAACCCTCAACAGTAGTTTTTCAGTTTTTTTTTTCTCCTCCTCGTGAACATGATCATTTTGTTTGGAAGAATGACACAGAACTGGCGGAGAAGTGTTAATGTATCTTCTAGCTAAAAACACAGGAACTGGAACCGGCCTCTGTTTGCCTTAAAGTGACTCGCATGCAAAAATGAATACCTCTAAAGCTGATGCTCAAGTCATTCTGCAGCAGGACACATTTAGTATTTTTAAGACATTTTAATTCTGCACATTTAAAGGAGACGTGTTGTGCTAATGTTCAGGTTCATTATTTTGATTGGAGTTATTTGAAAAGGTCTACATGTTCACTTTCCTCCTACAGCCCCCTCCATCCCCCCAGGTAAGAAAAACTGAAGTCACACGAGACGTCTCCTTTAACACATTACAATGAATTGCCTCAAGTGATGTAAGTGACCGTTGAGCTTGAAGGCTCCAGGTCTGTAAATAAATCGAAGGTTGTGGAGTCAGATAAAAGTGAGCTGAGACCTCTGCAGCCAACGCGTCATCTCTGACTGAGGCTCCAGGTCTGAGGTGACTCCAGGCACCGGCTGCACACAGGCTCTATTCATGTCATGTATAACACAAGAAAGCAAAACGAGTGACGCCTGAATTCCATTGAGCTGCTTCGGTGTCAGGGTCCTGTCGTTGTGCATGCTGCCACAGTGTCACACTGTCACGCTTTTAACAGTTTGTTATCAGTAACTCCTGAACTTTACCTGCTGCAAGTCAAAATGGCTGCAGTGAAAAGGGCCTGTTTGGAAAGTGTCCAGTGGATGTGGCTGTGTCACCTCTGTGTACGTCCACACAAACACTTTGATCAGACACGTTACCAGTGTTGGTTTGGGCTTTTGTTAAAATCAACACATTGCAGTTTTTTAATGAAACAAATATTTATAATTCTTTTTGCCTGTACTTTAGCATCCTGTCCCTTCTCTAGATCACCAGGGCAAGACTGAAAAACTGTAGTCTTCCCTCTTGGGCTTCGTAAAACTAGTTTCACTCTGTCTGCTAAGATACAAGAAAGTTACGATGCAGGATTTTTATAAGAGTCTGTGTTTTACAAAAAGTCAAATGTTCAGCAATGCAACTGATTTCCAGATGATACTGTCCCTTAGTTTGAGTTCAGTCGGACTTTCAATGGATTTCTAAATGTGCGGACACATTAATCTCTAAAGACTTGTCCTCTTACACGGCTGCTCCACTGTCACTTTGCCTGTCTGCAGTTTACCTGATGCTCCGCCCTGATTACAGAAACAAAGCTCCTCATTTACACAGTTAAGACACAGCTCACAGTAACCAGCTCACCTAATTGTCTCTACAGCAGCCGTGACAGCGCTGCAGCCGCCGGACAAGTGTAAGGCACTAGCTTGTATTGCATCATTTGAACAGATAAATCACAGGTTACACATCTAGACACTAAACAGCATTCATATTCACTTTACTCTAACACAACAACATGATCCTGCATATGGCTATCAAATTCACAGTGCATCCCAGATTCAAATGCTAAAGCAACATAATGACTAAATGAATTAGTTCATAGCATATTGAAATATTTCTATTGATGAGAAGTTGATGTAATTCAGTGCTACAGAGAAAGTTAGGGATTTTACTAAAAGACAGTGTATTTCTAAGCTCAAGTGACAACAGCACCTAAGAAGTGTTAGTAACCTTAGAGAGTGACTGTCAAATCATCTGAGATGAAATTAAAGGGGAACTAAAAACTGCAGAAAGAGCTGGAATATAACGTAAGAGCTCATATTTATTGGTCCTGGCTAGGCACTTAAACAGCACTGGTAACTCTGATGGTTCTTTTACTGTACAACATATTGTGAGGCGTCATTGGTTGTACATTTAAAAAAACAGCTAAGTTTAACCCAATTGTCACACAAGCTGATCAAAGTGCATCGCCTGGCTTTCATTTGGTGCTCTCGAATGCACGGAGGAGCTCAGTGCAGCTTCTTCGGCGCAGTAAGAATCTGTGATCACAGGTTGACTGGTCTTCACAGCAGCTACGGGTCAGATTAAAGCTGCACGCTGGCAGCACCAAGTGGAAGTAATAGGTAACTACACTTCTGTACCAAGAAACCCTGTGAAATGGTGACGGTCAACAACACAGCATCTGATTTTTTAATCGATTCTCATATTTTTGATCACCTGAAATCTACAGTGTCAGTTGCGATGGGATTTTTCAACCCACTGTGTTTCAAGTTGAGTTGTAAATATGTATCTTTTTTATTTTTTACAAGAGCAGCTTTGTCTCATCCGTCTTCCATTACACTAAAGCTGTTTTCAGACATGATTTCAGGAGGAACTCTGGAGTATTGGGTGCGGACATTCTCCAAAGGTTACCTTTCACGTTTATCTGCTCTGAAATGTTCACAACAGCATAAAATTCAGGTGAAGGGGTGATGCAGCAGACAGAGGCAGGACGCAACGCATTCATTCTGCTGCAGGGATCACGTGTTTTTGTTCACGGCACGTCAACATCAGCTCTCATCACCAAAAGCTCTCGACATCTTTGTCGGTGTCTTCTACGAGTATAACACTGTTTTGTCATCTGGAGAATTTGGTGTTTTTTGTTTTGCGTCTGTTGCATGTCAGAAATCCCCCCCACACACTTGATACTAGGGAGCAAGGCGGAGAAAGGCTGCAGAAACTCCAGGGGCTCTCACTCGGACATTTGCGTTCACACATACACCTCCTCCACAGAAACTCCAGAGAATCTCCAGAGTTCAGTCCATGTCTGAAAGCAACTGAAAAGAATTTTCTACAGCTGGCTTACCTGTTCATGATCTTTTCACGTGTTCATCTCGGCTAATTTATGTCTGTTTCCGGGCCTCGAACCCACAAGGTTGTCCACTCATTGTTCATTTGATTGTATGGTTTCAGTAAAGCTATGGCAGTCTTGGCATTGTTGTCACGTATGTTGATAAAGCAACATACATTCTGAAAACCTACACAGATCATTGGCCGATGATCAATAGAAGCGTTTACGTCTCTTTTCCGTCCAGCGTCCGTAAAGCACCAGTCCTATCACTGCCAGCACACCCAGCCCCAGGATGGAGAAGAGGAGGGTGAAGAAGAACTGGACTCCGCTCATCCCTTCCTCCTGGATAACAACTGCAAAGACAGAGGATGATAGATTGATTATCAAAAAGATAAGGGCTCCCACCAGTGGTCAGGTTCAGTTTCTTATAGTTTGCAGCTTTGTCTTGTTATTACTAGTTTTGTTTTAAGAAACCTCAGGTCAGTGCAAGAACATTTTACACCTGAGCACTAAAATGGTCGTGTCAGTAGTGAGATCAGACATCATCATCCATCCCTAAACTGTAGCAGCCTATCAGCTGCTGTTTTCCAGGTCTAAAGTGAACATTAAAACACACGGCTCCTCAAAGAGCATCGAAAAGACATGGAATCTGAAATATCTTTAATTTTATGGGCCAACTCCATCTGCTGATGATGATTGTGTGACACATAGTGAAGAACGTAAGACATAAAGACCCCAAAACGCTCTCCTCTCCAGTAGGTGGATTATCAACAAATATAAAATATCCAATCATCAAGTCACCCATGAAATGTGAGAGGTGAGGTGATGCGGCCGTGCTGTGTCTACCTTGAAACTGTTCCATGTGGTCAACTCTGGGAATGATGACCTCCTCCTCCTCCTCCTTCTCCTCCTCTGGAGTCCTCTCTACTGTCAGCTGGTAAAGCTTCATGGAGATGATGTCATGGTTATCTACAGCAACACAAGTCAGCACAAGATCAGTAATTAACACCTGAAGAAAGCCTTCCCACAAAAACACTAGTGCCACTTCACTGCAACAATGAAGTTAAAAAAAACTCTGGGTTGTGTGATAATGATAATCTGAAAGTACTTCTCTGCAGCCTGTGTGTGTGTGCGTGTGGTGTGTGGCTCACAAAAACTGCTAATCACATGTATATAGTTATCATTATTGATGTCGGATCATGAATCCGAATTGTTCCGGTCACTTTGACCCTGATGTCCTGACTGTGCGTGTCTGGTGTTGTGTGTAGCAAATGAACTACATGCACATGTTTAAATACATGCCTCATAAACTCTAAAGTGAATCAACAAACACAAAGTAAATGTCAGTACTGTTCAGGTCCTAATAACTTCTGATTAGTGTCGGTGTTTATTGTTAAAGTGTAAAGGGAGCGCAGGTCAGCGGGAGAGTGGGGGTGGGGGGGGTCTCTGACACGGTAAAGGCGGCCGGACCTTTAATGCGCATCTCTGTCTTGATCCTGAAGCAGCGGTCGTTATAACTATGCAGCGGTGGGACATCGCTAAAGAAAAATCAACATAGCGGAAAACATGAATCGATTATGTTCTGTCTCTGGATCATCTGAGTCTTCCACGTCCGCATCGCGATGCATCTACGAATCGAGAAATATCCCCACCTCTAGTGCACAACTTACAGAAATACAAGATGAGAATAATAGTATGTTCAATGATCCCAACAACTGAGAGTAGTCCTGTAAAAGAGTCTATATCGTTTCATTTTACAACCATGTAGGATTTTAAATTTACATTTGTTTAGTCTGGGTGACTAAACTTTGTTATAATGTGCAATGGAGGAATAGCATCTGAAGTCACAAGAAGCCAAAGGCAGCATATGCAACAGTTTCAGTTTACATTACTGACTACAGTTATTAGAAAGTCACAACATCGTACAGTGACCTGAAGTTAACTTGCCGTACATTTCAAATGTTTTTCTTTTTCACAGAGATCCTCTGTCTGCATGTTCTGCAGATATGGTGAACATTTTTGTACAAGTTTTCCTCTGAGCTTTTATAAAACCATGATAGGACCACGTGGTCCTATTAGAAGACTGAAAACCCTCAGGTACACCATGTTTTCACTGAGACAGAACAAAACCAAGTTGAAGTTTTAATAATAAATCAAATAAGAAATGGTAATACTAACTGATGGGAAATGTATTGTGGCAGTTGTTACATCCCTGCTCGCAATGAATCTTCATACCTGATAAGTCTCCAGTGGCAGAGGAGGCTCCAAAGAAGTATCCTGTAGGTAGCCGCAGTCCTGTGATGTCAGCACAGTGTTTCCATTCCTGCTTCCCATCTGCATCCACCATGAGCTGGAGGGCAAAGGAGGAGTCAGCAAGCAACACTGATAAACACTGGAGCTAGCAATTGTCTTTAGTGACTTTCATGGATTTTTCCACAACAGCATGATTCATTATTAGTCACTTTTTTTTTTTTACATCACAACATGACTATGTAACATTTAATGATAAATGCAGTGTTGCTCAGACTGTATAAAACCACACAGAACATTTGTATAGAGGCCTGAAGATGCAACTCACAGACACTTCTCATCCAATCTGAGAGTTTGAGATATGAAAGGAGGTCTGAAGCTGCTTTCAGACACTGAACTGCCGACCTGTGGACCAGTTTCTCCAGCAGGATTGAACTCCTGCTGAGGAGTCCTGCAGAGTCTTAACCAAGAAGACTCAAAGCTGTAACTGTTTCCACAGGAGCTAAACCAGAACTGATTGCAGAGATTTACATTTTTTTCTAAATTAGACATTTGTTTAAAAACTTTAAAACATTTTCACTTTGTCAATGTGAGTTACTAAGTGTAGACTGTTGGGTATCCATTTAATATTACATCTACAACACAACTGTAGCTGAAGCCATAGTAATCTGTTAACTTTACAGTTTCATACCGTGAGTCTGTTTTTGGTGTATCTGATGAGGAGGAATGTGTCAAAGATCGCATTGCGCACCAGGGCTGTGCACCCTCCAAGTTCAGTGCGGCGTCCATCTTGATCGTGTTGATATGACAGAGTCCCATTCCCCAGCATCACTGATATATATGGGAAAGTCCTCTGAGAGAAGAAAGGGGAGACAAAGACGTCTGTATGTGCAGATTCAAAAACGCTCACAACCAAGCCATTGTTTCAGTTATGATAACACAACAACACAAACATCACAGATGAATCCAAGCAGATGGGTGGAATGTAACAGTAAAGATGGTGAAGATGGATGCGGGACATTCAACAGCTCAGCTCAGAATAAGCTGCAGTTTCTGATGCTACCTGAATTCCAGGTTGTGTCTTCTTCACATTCAAAAAGGGAAGCAGGGAAAGAAATATGATCTGAGATCAGTATAAATATTGTAAATGAAGAGGCTGATCAAGAGTGGCAGGCTGTTTAAAACTGTGTCAAATAGTCAGATTAGGCTGGAAGACTTTTTACCACCAAGACACCAAAACAGCACAAACAAAAGAAGGCCATCACCAGAAGTTGAGTAAATTGGAATGACAAACACTATGCACATGTAAATACAAATGAACAGTTTATAGGAGATTGAGTGTTAAATCAGAGAGAAAAACAACGTCACAATATCACCGTCATTAACCAGAAGCTTCCAACTGTCACTTACATCATGGGTCTTGTCTGCGTTGGGGTAAGTGTCCATAAATATACCAAGTCCAGTGAAGTGGTTCATGTTACCAAATACAGGGCCTGCAAAGAAACAGGGAGGTCTATCAGAGGTCTGAAATACAAAGCAGGTTCAACATACCCATGACATCTCTTTATAATCCATCTTCACTGAGCCCAACAGTCGTCTCTATCAGCTCCATAAATCCACCCTGGGTTTACAGTCACATTAAAGTGAGGCCATTTGCAGCATATGACCAATCACAAACACACAGTCTACAGGCAGCAGAGCAGCACAAACTATAATAGCAAATAAATAAGAAAAACTGTGAATGTGTAGGTTTATAAATTAATATTACTGCAAGATTATTACAGCACCAGTAAATATGACTATAATTCCATTTGTGTATTCCGTTAAATAAATGCCTTTCTTGATTATTTATTTATTTATGATGATTTTAGCTTTGGTCTTTCAGCTACAGCCCTGGCAGCGTCAATGAGCTCATGCAAGTTACTATGACGATTCACCTTAAAAAAAAAGTAAATCACCATCGTAACCTCAAAAGATCAGTGTCAAACTTAGAGTTATGTTGCTGACCACATATTCTGCTTCTAAGTACAGGCCTCAGAGCTCTTGTAACTAAAGGTTGCTAAGAAGAATAGCCACACTATACAAGAATAGACTTCAATTGCCAGACAAACAGTGAGTTTGTGAAAAGCTGACGGTAATTGGGGTTATATTTTGTTGTGGTGGGGGGTTTCAAAGCTTACAGGATAAAACTTTACTGTGTGAGATTCATATAACGTGTAGTTCCAGAGGCTGTCTTATGAACCATGTAATGTGTAGACAGAAAACTGAAATATTGTGGTTTCAGGAGCAGTTAATGTTAAAGCTGGGTGTGCAGACATGGAGCCACGGCTTGGTTTCCTACGTCACTCTGTACAGGAGATGCAGAGATGAAATGAGGAATAAAGTATATCTGACTGACTGTGACCGTATGAGACACCTGCACTGTCTCTTCATACCATTCTGCATGCGATCTCTGGTTAACCAGATGGCCATTCCGTCCCCATTCAAATTCTTCCTTCCCAGGCCGTGGATTTTAAACTGCACCTTTAGCTCCCAGTCCCGCAAGACCAAAGGCTAGAAAGCAAAAGACATAAAGACAAACTGGTTATTCTTGCAGTATTCTATGTGTGGTATGCGTCCCCCAACATACTATTCTTTTAAAACAGGTTGAATTAGTCAAATGTTATGTCAGTAAATGTAGACTGTAACACTCTGCACTATTTTTGTAAAATGCTTACATATTGAGCAATTTTCATTTTAAAGTCATGATGCTGACAATTTTACAATAACACTAAGGTAGAGGGAGGTTGGATGTGAGAGGTTAACTAACACCAGGCAGACTGAGCGTATGTATAGCTTAAGTAGACTCAGGAGTTGTACATTTGTACATGGGCAACTGGAATTGCTTGTGTTTCTTGAAGACGTTTCAACTCATCCAAGAGGCTTCTTCCGTTTTATCAGTGGAGCCCTTAAACTGAACTCCGGATAATCTAGGCAAAAATTCTCTGGAGGGGCTGGATGTGAGAACGCAAATTTCCAAGTGAGAGGCTTTATCTATTTATATATATATTTATATTTATAGAGTTTCTACTTGCCATTACAGACTGGAAATGTCTGTGTTGTGAATGCGTCTGAGTGGAAAATCTACCATTGCAATGTGAAAGGAAAACTCCAGAGAAAGCCTGGATCAAGTTGTGAGGACACTCTCCACAGTTCATGTATGAATATAGCTATTGAAAATGATCCACAGAGGTTTGACACCTGAACCCTCCCATTAGTCATTTAGTTCCCGAAGAAGCATCTTAGACGAAAGGTGAAAGGATGTCAAGAAACGCAAGCGAGTCTGGTTGCCTACGTACACGACTACTGAAGATATGATGATGGAATCATTTTCACAGATGCATTTAGCAGACTTACAATTCGACTCCACACGGCTCCCTGCCTGCTCTGCAGGTCTGGGGTCAGCCTCACATGGTCAGGCGTCACCATGGCAGTTCCCATCAGATCCCACTGAGCGGAACTGGAGAAGCCCAACCCTGCAAACCAGTAATACACCTGTTAACGGTTGTATTGTTCACAGTAACTTAGAAAAAAAATCCCTCCACACCCACTCGTCTCTGATTGATGACAAAGCAACAGAACAGGTTTCTTCTTCTTACTGTCCAAACTGCCTTCAAGTCTCTGTATTGAAATGTATTTTAACATATCAACCATTACCATGAACACTAAGCACAACTTCAACTGCAGAGATAGAGTTGTGAAGGTAAAGTCAGTAAATGATTGATCCCCACAAGAATCACTCGTCTCATCTGTCTGCTGACTAGCATGGAACTGCTTGAGGGTGGTACAGGATCTCAGTTTGAACAGTAACTAGTATTGTCTGGTGTACAGGCTGTGATCCGTCAAACCGATTTACAACACGTTCAATACAATGGAGAGAAAAGTCGGACACAGTTCATTTAACCAGTCAAGGTAACGACATCAGTCAAATCAGAGTTCACGATCACTATTTCTCACTGTGGGATCAAACCTGCAATCACTTCCTGTGMMATAGTTCCAGTACCTTCGGCAGTCACATGAGTACCCAGCTAAAGTGGACAGGGATTAGCAGCTAGCCTGGGCTAATGTGTAGCAGTGTTACAGCAGCTAACGTGTAGCTGACAGTTGGACCTACCACGGTAAGGCTTGGTGAGAGAATACTCCCGCTTCAGAAACTCCTCCAGGAACTCCTGCTCGTCGGCCAGCGACGGGCCCGTCAACACACACACGGCGACAAGCAGCCATGTTAGTTCCCGGACGTTTTTCAAACGAAACATTGGAAGTGAAGAGCAGCAGCTTGTCAGTTGACCCAGATTTGACTTCGTTACAGCCGCAACCATCTTTACACACTTCTTCTTCTTCTTCGTCTCTTTCCTCAGTCTTCTTCTTTTTGTTGTTTACCAGCGTGGTGGCACCTACAGTGTAAGGCGCATTACCGCCACCTGCCGTGCTGGAGTTTGGGTCAGAGAGCTCGGTCTGCGGAAATACATTTGTTTCCTCACTCTTCTTCTGGTGTTAATTGGCAGTTGGCCAAATCCGCTTATGTGCGCCTTACCGCCACCTTCTGGACTGGAGCGTGGAGCAGTCATAAAGTAACAGTCACAAACTAAACAGAAAATACAATTATTTTCTTAAGTGCTGTTTCTCTTAAATAGTTAATTAGAAGATTAAGTATATTCCGTGATCTCTTTCCTAATGACTTATCTTATGAAACATTTTGCTCTTCTTCTTGTCATCCTGATATTAATTCCCTCATTGTTCTTTATCTTTGTTACACACATTTACAGAGGGCTAATGACATGTTTTTGACTTCTGTGCAAATGTCTTCCTGTATCATTTGCATCCCAGTATTCTTGCCATGTTTGGTGACTGTATACTTTAATGATAGTTTTGGTGCCAGTGTGTCCATTGACGATCGTTTTAATGACTGTTTTTCTAATATCTCTGCCTTTTCATTGCCTTCCACTCCCATGTGAGCAGCAAACCCATAGGAAGGAGATATTCAACCCTCTCGGATGTAATCTGAGGAGCATGAAAAATGTTGTAAACAATAATTGTCTGCCACTTTCCTCCGCCCACTGCGATGCAAACAGAATACCCGGTAATCCAGCTGTATAAACTGACAGGTGGTCTGAGACTGTGGAGTGAAGAATGCAGCTCTGTTGAAGCGTCTGTAAATATAAATAACTAATGCCGATACTGATCGGTCTTTGTACTATTGCTCTTTGGTAGCAGGTTGTCTTTATCTTTTAGTTTTTGCTGCAGACTGGTGTCTATGGATGGTATCACAAATGTCCACGGTGTCTGTTTCTCTTGGCTTGCTTTTCTCCCTCTTGGTGGTTTACAGCTGCAGCCAAACAACAAAATGGCACATTACTGCCACCACCTGATCTGGAGAGTGGCTCAATGGTTCAACATTAAAAACTGGTGGCATATAAATAAAAACCAACATAGTTTAATAGTGTTGTGCTTTTATTAGAATATTGATAAAAACAAATCAAACTAGCACATTCCCCCAACTGGTTACTTGGAGAGTAAAGACACTCTTTTGCTGATTGTTTTTCCGCCCAGGATATCTCATAAAATCTGTGAATTATATCCACAGTGGTCCCCTCATGTTTTCTGGTTTTGAACAAGTAAGGTGCTGCTGCATCCTGTACCCTATGTCTAAATCTGAATCTTCTCCACTGTTTCTTTTCTTCTCATTTCTCCCACTTTACATTCTACAAAACCATCACCCTGTTCTTTCTTCTCTCCTAACTGAGCTTGTCTCTTATCCAACGATTCCAGGTTTTTTAAGGACACGTCTATTCCTAAGCTGATAATTCTGTTTAAATATTGAAATATTTCTTAGAGATAACCTGCAGACATCTCAACGAGATAAGTTCAACACTCTCCAGGGTCTAAGCAGGATTTAACTTGTATGTTTAATTTCCTTTGTCCCCTCTAAAGCTCAGCACCCACTATTTCTAAATATGCTATAATATGATCAGCAGTTCTCGTTTTGTATTTATTTAAACTACGACATATAAGTGGAGAATTAGCTGCACATCTTATCTCAGTATTGAGTTTTAAGTGCCCTCAGTGAACATACACAAGTACACAAGCTCCATGACTCTCATATAGAGCAGGATTCAAATATTCTTGCAAATTGATCGTCTTTCTGATGTGATAAATACAAATTGATTAATGGTTGCGGCAGCAGCCATTGTGTGACAGCTAACTTTAATCAGTTTTAAATTATGTTCTAATTATTGATTCCTAATTCCTTAGTGATATCTGAACTGACAACACTAAAAAACATTCCTTTCTTTTACTTTATTACTTCCCAAACACATACTGTATTTATGGCTTGTTGCATAGGATGTGAATCATTCTGGCTCTGCAGCTTTGCCCAATAATTGGCCATTAGTGTAATTGTTTCCTTTTTAGGTGAAGGGACATTTCTCCAATTTCTACTCAATTTCTACTCTAAGTGCTGACGGTAGCTTTGACTTCACAGCCTCACAACCTGTCAATGCTTGAGCCTCACTGTCTGTCTAGGACCAGTTAAATTAGTTTATTGCAAGATCAGTGTACCAACAATGAATTATCATAAATATAAAGTTATAGTAAAAACTTATAAACTTAGAGTGTTATATGTATTATTGTAAATTACATTATTAGCTAATTATTACTTGTTTCCAATAAATACATTCAAGTGATTTTAATGTTGTTGCTGTTGGATGTGGAGCTAAATGCAACTACTGGTTTTACAACTGGCAGTTTATTCTAAGGCAGGATATCATATATGATGTAGAGAAAATAACTTTGTTCATTTTTTAATACTATACTTGCTGTTTTTTTCATTCTTTCTTAAAACAGGCTGTAGCCTCAAGGTTAAGTGAATTCTGTACCATATTTTAAATACCTTGGTATCGTTGGCTGAAAATATGTCAAATATGTGTTGTTTTGACGTGCTAGCTGATATGAAGAGTGTTTGGACTTTTGTTAAAACATATTTTACTTACAGAGTTCAGATGAGACATTTCCAACTGGATTAATGACCAGAACCAATCAGGGTGACCCACCTCTGTTAGAATACACGTCTCCCCTCCAGGCTCGGTTCCAAAAGTGTCAAGCTTTGTAACCATGAGCTGAAACTGCAGTGAGTGCATCGGCAGAGCAGGTGATAGTTCTCTGTGGCTTTGACACTCTGAGTTAAACATCACATGGTCGTATCATATCTCCCATGTTAATATAAAGGATATGAAATAGTGAAGCATTTTAAATTCAGTGCAAATCTGACAGTGTTGTTAACCATGGATGCCAGATATATTATTAAGTTGATAATGAGATGTTAAGAAAAAACCTGAATCCTGCCCTGTATAAACTGTCCACGTGGTTTTCACACGGTGTTGTTGGGTGCTGTTAAAGGACAGGCAGTGATCAGGCTTTAACATATCATTGAGATTTTTTTTGTAAATCAAACGGCACACTCTCTAAAATATGAAGGAGTATACAATGCACGAGTAGTAAAATAATCCAGAAATTAAAGTGGGCCATGTCCTCCAAAAATCAGAAAGTGTTACACACACCACCACCGGCTGTGCTGTTGTCTGAACGTATGTGGAGCATTTGGGGGCGGTGATCCCCATTCAGTGTCTCTCTATGTTCTGCCTTTGTCTGCGTGGGTTTTCTGTGGGTACTCCAGCTTCCTCCCACAGTCCAAAAGCACAGAGATTGGTTTAGATTAAGTGGAGACTATAAATTCACCATATGTGTGAATGCGAATGCTTGTTTGTCTCAGTGATCTGCTGGCGGTCTGTCCTGGGTGTACCCTGCTCCCCCTGCGACCCTGGACGGCTGGATGGATGGAGCCCATGGATTAAACTGCTTTAATGTACAAAGATAAAAAAAAAGTGTGGAAAATGGTCTGATTGTATTTTCAGTCCAGCTCAAGCAGAAGACTCCAATTTTAACTGAAAATGTTCCTTGAAATAAACACTGATGATAATTACATTTCCTAACAAGTCGTACATGAAGCATCAACCCTGGAGCAGTAGTTCCCAAACTAGGGGGTCCTCATGACACACGCTGGGTTGTATATGTAAATTAAAATCACAAAAAAAAAGAATAATCATCAGCCTTCTGATTCCCGTTCTCTCCACATGGCCATTTTCTATGGTCAGTATTCTTTGTTGGACTGACAGCTCTCTAACATTTTCTGAAATCACATCATCTTTTGATCATTGGTGGTTAACACATAGTTTATTAAATTTTAATAGATCACTCAAAGGAAATTAATAAAAGCGACATTGGGTTGAGGAAAATCCCACTTCAGCAGGACAATTGAATTCATTATAATGATGACACCTCTCCAATGGACTGTTGAACCCCTCATCATCTGGACACAGGCAGGTTTCCATCCGACTGTGGTGGAAAGTTTGAGTCGATGTACATGTCCATCCACTACTGCCGTGGACTTCCAGTGTAAAAGGATATAATCCACATCCGTCGTACGTCGAATGACTCTTGTGCTCAGTGTCTGCTTTAGTGAAAACTCATATTGAAGGAATTGATCATTACTCTGGTTTACAGACACTTAGAACTGATCATTATCTAATGATTATTTCAACTGTCTGTACTGTAGTAACTCATCATTGTCAACTTATACAGTATTGGATTCAGGAATTACTCACTCAGTAATTCTCAGGTCTACTCACATCTTCCAGTACCGTATTGTAAAGTGTAAACCATACAAACATATGACAAGAGCAGCTTAAAGGTCCGAGGATTAACAGCTCATAGTTGGCTACAAGCAGTGTGGGAGTAACTGATACCAGCAGCATTGTGAGAGTGAGGGGCAGGTAGATATTCACCTATTTATGGAAAGAACTCATCAACCCTATATTATTTTATTTTATTTTATTTGCCTAGTCACAGAAAACATCTAGCAATGGCTTCTGAACCAGCAGTGATTTATATGAGACTCAGCTGTTTGTAGAATCTTCCTGTTCTGCATCATCTCGCCTCATAAAAGGACGGTGCTCGGTTCGATTAATGGACGGAGCCTCGAGCTGACACGTAATGGTGGTGGACGTAAATGCGATAAAGCTTTGTGTGATGCTATTGCCCCTCGGAGACAAACAAAGACACAGAGTGGGAATAAGAGAGGAAACGCGAAGGTGTTTATGATCCAGCAGTGACTCGGGGCCCTCAGTATTTCCTGTATGTATCCCCCGGGAAGATATTATTCACTTAGAGTAAGCTGGCGAATTCCAGCTGAACCTTGAAACCTGAAACATCAGTGTCTAGCACCTCTCCTGACACCCACACATCACCATTTGTGTAGCCCGTAATCCGCAGCGGAGACCGACACATACAGCACAGGGCTGTCTGCAGGGCCATAAATTCTGCCCCAGCTTACTGAGTGCAGAGGACCGCAGGGCATGCTGCGTGCAGTCAT